TGCTCACACTGTCTTTCTCTCTCAGAAATAAATAAAACATTAAAAAAAAAAAAAAAAAGAAACATTGATCAATAGCTATCTCAAGGACAAGACAGTTTTCCTTTAGGCTACTCATTGACAAAGCAGATGTACAATGCATGCAGGGAGGGCCACAAACCTGGCTTTTGAACAAAGTTTATATACATCATGTTGACTTAGAAAGACATCTAAAATGTCTTCCCTTGTATATCAGGCCTTTAGAGATTTTTTCTCAAATCACATCTGGCCCCACTCTTGAGTAAAGACTCTATCTCAGGCTTGACACACTGGTCATTCTCATCCCAGCTAATTTGTACAGCGGTTTCCAAATTAGGAGTCAAGACCAGAGAGGCTATCACCCACCCAGAAGCCCGCTCTTAAAGGAGTACCACACAGATCCATAATTCTGCCACCACTACCAGTTCAGGCGTTTTGCAAACGGAGAAAATCAGGATGTAAAACAGAACTCCACAGCTATCTCCAAAGGAACAGACTTTATGTGAAACAGTGTAGGGAAGTTCAAGCTTAAGGGTACTCAAAGGAAGAGACTTCGGTGGAAAGCAGGTATGAAGCTGGTAGCTTCATAAAAGATAACAAGCTAAATCATACCACATAGTTTACCAGAGGCAAGCAGGGAAACAAACAGCAAAGAGCCTTCCTGGCATTAGAACAAACCACTATTGTCCCCCTCTCCCCCCATTACCCCTTCAAAGTAGACAGGATTTAACTGGATCTGGTTGTGGCATACTTTATGCCCCAGGGTATTGTTGATAACACTACTGCTCAGAGAGTTTCACAGCTGAATAACATCAAGGAAAGAGTTCGGATCCCTGCTTAAACCACTGTCAGGGTGACTACCTATGATCAAGGCAGTGTTGTCTGAGGTCCAACATCAGAGGCTCCATAATGTGTAGGAAACAGACATCACTAAAATAGTCCATCCAACACTAAGGGAAAAACCAAGCCAACTATAAGAACTAGCTCCAGGGGATGAGGGATTAGGGGGTGGGGAAACCAATACCCACAGTTACTATAAACAGAGAATATCAATAGAGATGGAAATTATACATACACAAATGGAAATTCAGAAAGCCTCAAAGGTAGATTTGAGTTGACAGAATTAGCAAACTTGTAGATAGGTTGATAGAGATTATGCAATTCAAAGAGCAAAGGGAAAAAAATGAAAACTGAACAGAACCTCAAAGAAATGTGGATAATTATTAAACACATCAATACAGATACAATAGGAATATAAGAAGTTCCAAATTTGATTTAAAGGAAATCTTAATGTATACAACCAAGAAGCTCAACAAACTCCATGTAGGATACATGCAAGAGCTACTTCAAACACATCATAGTAAAAATGCTATAACATCAAATGTAATTAACAATACAATAAAAATTAAACGCATTTTCAAAGTACACTACCAAGGAAGTGAAGCAAACCCACTGAAAGGAAGGAAATATTTCCAAATCATCTATCTTATGGGGAATTTACATCTAGAATATATATAAAGGCCTTTACAATTCAATAATAAAGACACCCCCCCCCAAAAATGGGCAAAGAATCTGAATGAACATTACCCCAAATATACATATAGACAGTAAGCACATGAAAAGATGCTCAACTTCATCAGCCATGATGGAAATGTAGGTTAAAACCACAATAATATACCACTTCACATCAAGTAGGATGGCTACAATCCTACTTGCAAGGTTGGGAAACCTAAGTGGTTCAGTTGGTTAAGCATCTGGTTTGGTTCAGATCATGATCTCATGGTTCATGGGTTCGAGCCCCGGGCTTGGAGCCTGCTTCAGATTCTGTGTCTCCCTCTCTCTGTGCCCCTCCCCTGCTCACTCTGTCTCTCAAAAATGAATAAATGTTGGGGGGCCTGGGTGGCTTAGTCAGTTAAGCATCCGACTTTCGCTTGGGTCATGATCTCGCGGTTTGTGGGTTCGAGCCCCGCGTCGGGCTCTGTGCTGACTGCCAGCTCAGAGCCTGGAGCCTGTTTCGGATTCTGTGTCTCCCTCTCTCTCTGACCCTCCCCTGCTCACGCTGTCTCTCTCTCCTAGAAATAAATTTAAAAAATAAAAAAAAATTTTTAAAAAATGAATAAATGTTAAAAGAAAAAAATTTTAAAAAAGCAAGGTAATAAGCAAGTGTTGACAAGGACAGGAAAAAATTGCAAACCTCACACATTATTGGAGGGGTTGTTAAAGTGGTACAGGCATTTTGAAAATCACTCTAACAGTTCCTCACTTACTAGTTATAATGCAGAAATTCTACTCCTAGATACATACTCAAGAAAAATAAAAACATATATCCTCCCCCAAATTTTTACACGAGTCTTCATAGCAGTATTGTTGATAGTAACCCAAAAGTGGAAACCCAAATGTCCATCAACTGATGAATGTATAAACAAAATGTGGTATATCCATACAATGGAATATTTGGCAATATAAAAGATACATACAACAACATGAATGAACTTTGAAAATGTTACGCTAAATGAAAGCAGCCAGTCACAAAGGACCACATATCATGATTCCATTTATGTGAGATGTCCAGAATGTGCAAATAGAGAGACAGAAAGTATACCTAAGGGTTGCCTAAGGATAGAGTGGTTAGGGGTGATAGCCAAAAGGTTTGGGGTTTCTCTCTGAAGTAATAAAAATACTGTAAAACTAACTGTGGCCATAACTGCACCACTCAATATACTAAAAACTGAATTATACACTTTAAATGGGTGAATTGTGTGGTACATAAATTATATATCAGTAAAGCTATAACAATAAAAATAAATATATAAATAAAAGACAACTTAAATTCTCAAAAGTTTTATTATAGAAACAAAACAAGGAATGTAATTAAGTATGAAATAAATAATCTTGTTCTTGATAAAAGTACATTTAATGTTACAAAATCTGAAGTAAACTAGTTTATAACCCAACTCTTTTAAAGGATTTCTATTTACTGAAATTAACTTTTATTCTTTTGCAAAGATGTAAACTTAGTTACAGGAGGAACACATTTAATCTGTTATATATTGTTATAGACGCTATGATTCAGAAGCCAACATACATAAAAGCAGCTGTATTCATCTTTGCTAAATAGTTGTACAAAGCTATTAACTTAAAATATTAAAAATTTGTTTATGAGATATTTCAAACTGTAACTTTGGAATGCATGTTTCTATCTGATACCATTATTCCACTAAATATAGTGGTCAGATGTTCAGTGTATCTATTATAGAACTGCACAGAGGATTACAGAAGCCAAGATTAAAATTTTGCAAATCCTAAGAGACATAAACAAATGATTCAAAGATGATTTTATGCTAAATTCAGCAAATCTGGTTCTTAAAGCCCCTTTTTATTACAGAAAACAAGTAAATATAATGTTTAGAAAGCTTAATAGATGGAAAATAGTTGAGTTAAATATATTCTTTGCAATTTTCACATCTAATTTTATTTAAAGTGTTAACACTAAACATTCAAAAAGCTAATAAGGAGCCATTATTTCAATAAGAAATTGTTTAACTTGCAACTTTTCAAAGTTATAATTTTAATACATATTGGGATCTAAAACTATTAGCAAATAGCAACAATAGAGACTATATATTTAAAAAGTGGACATAATGAGAATATACTGAGATGCAAATCAGGAAGTTGTTACCTGCTTTACAAAAAGTTCTTAAATATACAGAATAATTCATAACATGTGATCTTTAAATATTCATGCATTTAAAATAATGACCAAAAAGATCAACTTACATACAACTTTTAGAAACCCCATCAATTTTATAAAGAGAGGCACTACTTTTTATCTATCCACTAAAGGCAATAAAATGTTTTAACAGTTCAAAAACAGGGTCAAAAAAACAACTGATTTCTCAAAACAAAACAGTAAGATGGCTATCATTGTGCCCTTCAAGAAATTAATAACCTATTTTTTTTAAGCATATTTTCCAACCCAACTTGTAACACACTTTGACCTCCATTTCTGCTTTTCCTTGAATCATTTCTGGAGTGTATGGAAGACTGCCACAACACTGAGGCTACTTGCAGTTTGGGTTAATGTCCTGAAAAAATATGCTGTCCATATACACACACACACACAAAAAATGAAGAAAAAAGTTAGTTCTGAAGTGCAATGCATGCTTCCTAGGCTGTAAAACCCCATCAGTCTAACAAAAAGTACCAAGATACAGATGCCAAAGTTGGAAAAAATGTAAACCAGCAAACAGTCAATATCATAAACTATATCAATTAATTTTTGTTGGACTGTTTGGCATTTGGGGAAGCTAAATAATTTAGCAGGCTAGAAATGCCATTGGTATGCTTATCAAAGATCAGCCAATTAATGGATTAAAGTTAATACTGAAAATAGCAAAGTGAGGAGTTTTTCTCTGTGCTTAATGATGAGGAAACAAATACCAAATTACAGAAAAGAATGGATTAAGAAAAGAGTATATAATATATTTTTGAAAGTAAAAAGTAAACAGAAATAAAGAAGTTAAGGCACTTATTTCAATGGTTTTGTAACATCAAGGGCAAAGTATGCTTTGTATTTCTTTGAGAAATTCCTTTCATCCTACAACTGTAAACTTTGCTCTTTTCATAGATTTTTATTGTCAAATTTAACTGTAAGTTACCCAAATGGAATTACTTGCAGAATTTTTAATCATTTGTTACTCTACAAATAAGCAAGAAAATTAATAAAATGCTCCTCAAAGTTTTTTACTACTACTGTTTTAACTACAGTTAAAATAGAAGTAAGCTAATCTCTTGCATCCAATATTATTACTTTTATAATACTCACATTTTCCTTTTCAACTAATGCTGAATGAACTTATCATTTAAAAAATTAAATCAAAAGCTTCTCCAAATCTATTTTATTTAAGAAATAAGTTGAAAGAAGCAAAAGCAACTTACTAATATGTTTTATGTCAAAAGCCAAAAACAAAACCAAAAAACACACATCAAAAAACTAATGTGATTATATTTGATAATATAAATCGATAAAAATTCAACTAAATATTTCATGCTACATAGGTTATTCTATTTCCCTTTCAACATATGCAAGTTAACCTTGAAGTCACACTGTTTTACATGCTCTAATCACAAGGACTACCAGGTGATCCTTTGTTGTGTACTTAGGTAACCATAGTAATATTTTCATAAGGCTTGAAGTTAAATACTAGTGACTCACTATTAAGATGTGCAGAGAACCTGTAATGCCCTGCCTTGAAATGTTAATATAATTATTAAAAATTATATAAAAGCATGAAAAGAGAACCAAATAAAACTAGTGCACCAGATATATGACACTGCCATCAAACAATTCTGAAGCTCTAAAAAAGCAAAGCATCCTAGAGCTAGTCTAAGAGTGCATGTGCTTTTGTACTTTAAAAAAAAAAAGACCCACATATATATACCAGAAAATAATGATAATGAAAAGATGCTCCCTTCTAAAGTAGTATTTCAGAGTACTGAAACTGCAATTTTACAGCACTCTAACAAGTGAAAATTTAAAAAATCTATTCACTAAACATATGCATAAGGTAAAACTAAACATGCATCCCATCTTATTAAAATGATACATCCTGAGTCTCTTTATATGCCAACTAATCATTTAAGAATTTCTTTTAATAAATGGTTAAAAATATGAAAACATTTAACCTAAAGGAACATAATATTCAGATTGTGAAACTGCTGTAAATTTTATTAGAACTGTCATTTTGTTCTTAATGTTGAAGACTGTACTATAGTTTCGTAAATAATAGCATTTGTGTTTAATAATAAACATATCTGCATGCAGACGTATATTTAATAGCATCTGCCCATATCTCCAGAAATTGTTTTAGTGTTATGTCATTTTAGTCATTAATATCAGAATACTCTTATTCTGAAAGATTTAATTTTTTACTTAATACTTCAGTAGAAAATATGTGAAGAGAGTGTATACCCCATTCTATACCTTTTAAAAACCTTAAAAACATTGTTTTAAATGTCTATTTCAAAAAATATTTAGGTAACAAGAGTTACTGTTTTATCATGATTAAATTGGTATTAACTTTATGGGTATAAGTGAAAAAAGGTGGCCAGTTAATAGTTGTAAAATAATAAAATGCAGTATTATATCCTCTATATTACTAAGAAAGTGCACATTTATATAAGCAGCAGGTGAGGAGAGCAGAATCATGGAAATTCTGGATATATCCTTATGTGTATATCCTTCAAGATCATGTTCCTTTACACAATTTACACATTTTAACTTAAATGTCAGTTTTCAGCTAACATTTAAATTTTTATTGTAATATTTCAATTCTATTATAAACCATGAATACCTTCAAAAACTGCTTTGAATCAAGGTAAGAAGAGTTCTTTCCTTCTAGTCTATTATTATATGACATTGAACGGTATTATTTATTAAATGTTATGTCTGAGAAATATACTCTGACTTTGAATATATTTAAATTCAAGACCTATGATATGACAGAATGAAGATTTATGAGGGTAATTTTACAATAGTTGAGAAGATAAGGTATTTAAAGACCATGTAATGATAAGGAAAACACCTATTGTGGCAGATTTGACATTTTACCAAAGGACAGTAATGCTTGATGCTGTATTCTTGCAGAACTCTGGATACAGTTAACAGCAGAAGGGGAAAGGCAGCAGCAACATTTCAAATGTCCATACTCTGATTTCCAAAAGATACTATGTAGGCAGAAGAAAACCACATTTTACTTCAAGTGATACGTCTTTGAAGTGAAGACTCTGCTATTTTCAAGACTGAAAGGATATCACAGTGTTGATTTTATATACAAAGTAGGATCTGTTCCAGTATACTCTAGTGAAGTAATTCACATATGGAGAATAGTTAATTTTGACTTCATGACAAAATCGCCCATATTTTGAGTAGGTTAACTTGTCACCTTCTTCACAAACCACCTATCAAAAGATGAAACACCATATTAAAAAGTGAGTTCAGGCCCTGCATTGGGTTCTGCGCTGGTGGCGTGGAACCTGCTTGGGATTTTGTCTCTCCTTCTCTTTGCCCTCTCCCTCTTATGTGTGCTTGTTCTCTCTCTCTCTCTCTCTCTCTCTCTCTCTCTCTCTCTCTCTCTCTCAAAATAAATAAATAAACTTTAAAAAGAGTAAGATTACATTAAACTACAAAGTTGTTTTTCTCAAAAAGATTTAACTTTTCAAATGATTACTTACGTGGCCGTTTGCAATGTCTAATAAGTCTTTAACCCTACAGCCTCTCATGGTTCCCACCTCATTGCAGATAGCATCCTCTACAATAAGGTAATTAGCCTTGTAGGATGTCAGTATTTTATAAATATCTTCAGCAGATCGCTTTGAATAGATTTGATAGATCTGAAAGAATATAAAGAGTGATTTTAAAATATTTAAAACATATTATCTGAAACTATACATTGAGCATCTACTATTATTTGGTGTTAAGAACTATCTATGGAAAATAAAGATATTCATTAAGACTTGATTCCTGCCATGAGGAAGCTTATATTCATAATTCATCTATCGGCCACTGTGTATCTTCTTTGTGGAGAATTGTCCATTCAAGTCCTTTGGCCATTTCCCCCCAGCTTTAATGAAATATAAGTGACATACAGCATTGTGCAAGTTTAAGGTATACAACCTGTGGATTTGACACACTTAAATACTGCAAGATTATCATTACAACATTAGCTGCCACCTCCACTGTGTCACATAATTACCATTTCTTTTTTCCAGTGAGAGAACATTTAAGATTTACTCTCTCAGCAACTTTCAACTATGTAATATAGTATTATTAACTATAATCACCATACTGCCCATCAGATCCCCAGAACTTATTCATCTCGTAACTAAAAGTTTATACATTTTGACCAATCCCTACCCTCCAACTCCTGGTAACTACCACTCTACTCTCTGTTTCTACATATTTGCCTTTTTTAGATTCCATATATAAGGGATAATCATACAGTATTTGTCTTTATCTGATTTATTTCACTTAGCATAATGTCTTCAAGATTCATCCATATTGTTACAAATGGGCTTTGCCCATTTCTTAACTGGTTTGTCGTTTTATTGTTGAATTATAATAGTTCTTTTAATCTTTAGTACCACATACAGCGTATTTTATACTCATTCATACATGAGATAAAGTCAGCAAGGTTGAATGTAGTTTGACCACTGTTACAAAATACTAAATAAGCAAGAATGCTTATAACTCATGTGTTGATTCCATGGCATTTTTCATTACAGTTCTGCTGAACTTATTAGGTAATAAGTTCTGGATCTTATTAAATAATAAGGTTTTTCAGTTTTTCTCAGATGCTAACATTGGACAAGCTCTTGTTACAAAATATAAAATAACAGAATCATAAATGTTAGGCCAAAAGTATCACACATACTAATTGTCCTGAAAATACTGAGATTTGACATCTAGATTGGACAAGATCCCAACCTATTTGATACTCAGCAGCCACCTACCACCTGTTATGATTGCTGTCTATCCAGCATCTTCAGGTTCAATGTCCACCATTATGATAGAGATACTTATCCGAATATTCTGTGGTACACAGAATGTTAACAAATCAAGAGGAAGTTTCTCACTCACTTTTCTATGCTAAATAGGTTTCAATGGAAATATTTCTATCCAGTTTATATCTGTTTCTTTCTACATACATTTTTACATATTTTTAAATTTTAGAAAGATGTAACATACTCATGGGGCATTAAAAAAAACAACACTTCGGGGGCACCTGGGTGGCTCAGTCGATTAAGTGTTTGACTTGATTTCAGCTTACATCATGATCTCATGGTTTATGAGGTTGAGCCCCCCATTGGGTCTGTGCAGACAGCATGGCACCTTTCTCACTCTCTCTGCCCCTCCCCCACGCATTCTCTCTCTCCTTCTCTCTCCCAAAGTAAATAAACATTTTAAAAACACACACACAAAAAACAACTTCTATGCAATGGTAACAATACAGGGTTTCTCAATCTAAGTACCATTGACATCTTGGGCTAGATAATTCTTTGTTGGGACAGAGGATGACTGTTCTGTGTATCATTGGATGTTCAGCAGTATTCTTGGTCCCTACCCACTAGATGCCTGTAGAATTCCTCCTATAGCTGTGACAATCAATATGTCTCCAGACATTGCCAAATGTCCCCTAGGGGCTTAACAGTCCCAGGTTTGAGAATCACTGGCCTCAGAGATTATATAAAGATTAGTCACAGGTCATGAATTATAGATAGAATATAATTCAAAGAATATGGACTCATTTATGGAGTTTGATTTGAATTTCAGTTTAACAACAAATTTATTCAGTATTTGCCGTGTACTAGACATCATAGAAAGACAAAGTTAAAATTTTTTTTAACATGTATTTATTATTGAGAAACAGAGAGAAACAGAGCATGAGCATGGAAGAGGCACAGAGAGAGGGGGAGACACAGAATCCAAAGCAAGCGCTAGGCTCTGAGCTGTCAGCACTGAGCCCAATGCGGGGCTTGAACTCACAAACTGCAAGATCATAATCTGAACTGAAGTCGGATGCCTAACCAGCTGAGCCACCCAGGTGCCCTGAGAAAGACAAAGTTTTGAAAAAAAGAAAAAAAAAACCATGGTTCCTAATCTCATAGATAAGTCACGTAAAACATAAAATTCTAAAATGTTTAAATTTAACTAGAACCTAATTAAAAGTCTGAAATTCTATATTAGGAAAACACCAATCATAAAAGAAAGAAACTAAAAAAAAATTCAGGAGTATGCTATCTACATTCTGTCTAAGCAACTGTACCTTTTCAAAGTGCAGCAAATACTAGTCAAAAGCAGCTGTTGTCTGGTAGGTAAATCGCACCCAGGTAGATCTTCTCATCTCTGACCCCTCCCTTGTTTCAATCTTTCTGCTGTAACCATAATCAACTTTCTAAAACAGATCTAAGCATTCCATTCCCAGGCTTATTAAAAGTCTCTGATAACTCCCAAATGCCTCAAGGGTTAAGTCTAAATTCTTCAGCAGGATGTTCCAGATCCTTTAGAATTCAGCCTTATTTTATTTTTTAGTTTCATGGCTATACAAATTTCTAGGCTCATGTTATTTTTTCAGCCTGGAATCATATGCATTCTTTTTCCAAACATGTTCATAGCCCAGATCAAGGGAATGCCCTTTATGAAGACTTGGATTTTTGGAGGCAGAATGGATTGTTCCTACCCTTTTTTTTTTTTTCTAAAGTAGGCTCCACACCCAATATGGAGCTTTAACGAATGACCCTGAGGTCAAGAGTCATATGCTCTACAGACTGAGCCAGGCAGTTGCCCCAGGAGTTTGCACTCCTCTTTGTACTTTCTATGTTTCTGTGTATGTACAGAATTTAATAGTAAATAAGAACATAATAATAATATTTAAGTCTTAATACATTTCAGGTATAGTGCGTTATCTCATTTAATTCTCACAACTAGAAGGTAAGAACTTATTATAATATCTAGATCCAGAAATTTCTCAAAATTAAAGAAAACACAAATAAAAGGAAAGATGTGCTATGCTCATGAATTGGAAGAATTAATGTTAATATGTCCAGACCACTTGAAGCCATCTACAGTTTCAGTGCAATTCCTATCAAAATTCCATCGGCATTTTTCACAGAAATAGAACAAACAATCCTAAAATCTGTATGGAGCCACAAAAGACTCTGAACAGTCAGAACAATCTTGAGAAAGAACAAAGCTGGAGGAATCATGCTCCCTAACTACAAACTGTATTACAAAGTTATAGTAATCCAAACAGTATCAGGATTAAAAACAGACACACGGCGTGCCTGGATGGCTGAGTTGGTTAAGCATCCAACTCTTGATTTCAGCTCAGGTCATGATTTCACAATTTATGCCATCAACTGTGCTGACAGTATAGAGGCTGGTTAGGGTTCCCTCAACCTTTGCCGCTCCCCTGCTCTCTCTCAAAATAAACAAACATTAAAAACAAAAACAGATGCATAGATCAGTGGAACAAAATAGCCCAGAAATAAACCCACACATACATGGTCAATTAATTTACAACAGAGGAGTCAAAACAATACAATGGGAAAAGGACAATCTCTTCAATAAAGGATGCTGGGAAAACTGCACAGCCACCTGCAAAAGGATGAAACTGAACCACTAACGTATACCATACACAACACTTAACTCAAATGGATTAAAGACCTGAAACCATAAAACTTCTAGAAGAAAGCACAGGTGGTAAGCTCTTTGACAATGGTCTTGGAGATTATTAATTTTTTTTTGGATTTGACAGCAAAAGTGGAGGCAACAAAAGCAAAAATAAAAAAGTGGGACTACATCAAACTAAAAACTTCTGCACAGCAAAGAAAACCATCAACAAAATGAAAAGGCAACCTACTGAATGGGAGAAAATATTTGCAAAACACATATCTGATATGAGGTTAACACCCAGAATATATAAAGACCTCATACAGCTCAATAAAAGAAAAAAAAATCTGACTAAAAAGTGGGCAGAAGATCTAAATAGACATTTTTCCAAAGAAGACATATAGATGGCAAACAGGTACTTGAAAGGTGCTCACCATCATTCATCAACAGAGAGACGCAAATCAAAACCACAAAGAGGTATTATCCCACATCTGTTAGAATGGCTACTATCAAAAAGGCAAGAAATAAGAAGCACTGGCAAGAATGTGGAGAAAAGGGAACCCCTGCACTGTGGATGGGAAGGTAAAGTGGTGCAGCCACTATTGAAAACAGCATGAAGTGTTCCTCAAAATATTAAAAATAGAACTACCATATCATCCAACAATTCCACTTCTGAGTATTTATACAAAGGAAATGGAAAAACTAATTTTAAAAGATATATGCATATCCATGCTCACTGCAGCATTATTTATATTAGCTAACATATGGAAATGACCTGAATGTCTATCAGTGGATGAATATATAAAATGCAATGTGTGTGTGTGTGTGTGTGTGTGTGTGTGTGTTTATAAATAGGAAATTATTCAGCCACAAAAAAGAATGAAATCTTGCCACTTGCAACAGTATGGATGACCTTGGGATGCCTGGCTGGCTCAGTTGGAAGACCATGTGACTCTTGATCTTGGGGTTGTGAATTTGGGGCCCAGACTGGGTATAAAAATTAGTACTTAGGGGCGCCTGGGTGGCTTAGTCGGTTAAGCGTCCGACTTTTGCTTAGGTCATGATCTCGTGGTTTGTGGGTTCGAGCCCCGCGTCGGGCTCTGTGCTGACTGCCAGCTCGGAGCCTGGAGCCTATTTCAGAGTCTTTGTCTCCCTCTCTCTCTGACCCTCCCCTGCTCACACTGTCTCTCTCTCTCTCTCCCTCCTAGAAATAAATAAATAAATAAAATATTAAAAAAAATTAGTACTTAAATAAAGCTTAAAAAAAATGTATGGACCTTGAGGATACTATGCTAAGTGAAAATAAGTCACACAGAAAAAGACAAATACTGTATGATCTCACTTATATGTGGAATCTAAAAGCAAAATCAAAACCTAAAACTCACAGATACAGAAAATAGATTGGTGGTTGCCAGAAGTAAGGGGTGGGAGGTGGGTAAAATGGGTGAAGGGAGTCAAAAAGTACAAACTTCCAGTTATAAAATGTATAAGTCATGGAGACCTAATGTAGAGCATAGTGACATAGTTAAATAACACTGTACTGTACATTTAAAAGTTGCTAAGAAAGTAGTTCTTAAAAGTTCTCCTTATGAGAAAAAACTTTTTTATAGCTATGTATGTTGATGGATGATAACGAGACTTACTGTGGTAATCATTTTGTATTATATACAAATAACAAATCATTACATTGTACACATGAAATTAGTATGTTATATGTCAATTATACCTCAATTATTTATTATTTATTTATTGTAAAAATTTCTAAACTACATTTTTTAAGGTTTTTTATTTTGAGAGAGAGTGAGAGAGCAGAGGTGGGGCAGAGAGAGAGAGGGGGACAGAGGATCTGAAGTAACTCTGCGCTGACAGCAGAGAGTCCAATGTGGGGCTTGAACTCAAACTGCAAAATCATGACCGGAGCTGACTCAGACACTTATTGACTCCTATACCTCAATTTTTTAAAAAAAAGGCATTGCCTGGGTGGCTCAACCAGTTAAGTGTCTGATATCAGCTCAGGTCATGATCTCATGGTCCATGAGTTCAAGCCCTGCATCAGGCTCTGTGCTGAGAGTTCAGAGCCTGGAACCTGCTTTGGATTCCGTGTCTCCTCTCTCTGCCCCTCCCCCACTCATGCTCTGCCTCTATTTTCAAAAACGAATAAATATTTAAAAAATTAAAAATAAATAAAAAATAAAAAAGGCCATGTGGAAATGCCAAAAAAAAAAAAGAAGGGAAGGGAAGAAGGAAGGGGGAAGGGGAAGAGGAAGGGGGAGGGGAGGGGAGGGGAGGGAAGAGGGGTCCTGGCTGGTTCAACCGGTAAAGCATATCACTCTTGACGTTAGGGTTTTAAGTTTCAGCCCCATGCTATGTGTAGAGATTAGAAGTGTTGAATCACTATACTGTACACCTTAAACTAATATTACACTGTATGTTAAGTGGAATTTAAATAAAAGCTTAAAAAATAATCTTAAAAAAAAGAAAAAGATACTTGTTCAAGGTCACAGTGCTACCGCATGGCAGGAGTAGCATTTGAATCCAGGTATTCTAATTCCAGAGTTGTCTTTTTACAGTTTAAATTCTATATTGCTATACTACCTCATTAGCTTAGAAAATACTTAAAAACGAAATTCTCTCAAACTGAAAAACAGGGTATTTGGAATTCAGGTTCAGTTGGTCACTGCTCCCAGATATGAAGTTAACATTTATATCTGGACCAGTCAAAATAATACATTCTTTGAACAGTAAAGAATTATCATTCTAATGCTATACTAAGTTATTAGTAACAGCCCATACTGAAAAATAAACCCCATTGAGATAGAACTTTAGCTTGGAAATACAAAGTGTATCAAGACCTTAACTGACAGCCTGCCTGCCTTCAGTAATTTGATTGAGAACAATCATATTTTCCAAAGAATGTTTCTCTTTGTAAAATACTACATATCAGTTCCCTTGAAACTTTGTGGAAAATTAAATGTTTCTCCTAGAAACATATCAATACCATTCATAAAATAAAGAACTTAGTATTTTAATTTTGGTTCTCCTCTTGGTTAAATATATTACACAGTTTTTCAAAGACTAAAACTAATTAATTCTTGGGGCGCCTGGGTGGCTCAGTTGGTTAAGCGGCTAACTTTGGCTCAGGTCATGATCACATGGTTTGTGGATTTGAGCCCCGCGTCGGGCTCTGTGCTGACAGCTCAGAGCCTGGAGCCTGTTTCGGATTCTCTGTCTCCCTCTCTCTCTGCCCCTCCCCAACTTGTGCTCTGTCTCTCTATGTCTCAAAACTAAATAAAACAAAAACAATTTAAAATAAACAAATAAAAAATAAAACTAATTAATTCTTTCTAAATTGTTTGGATTTTCCTAGCTAACCAGGAACATATGCATCACTTCAGAGCTATACTAAAATAAAAGAGTGATGTTTAAAAGATTTAAATGTATAATCTAAAATGTCTTACATTTTCATTTCTCTTAAGAAGATCATCATCGTTATAAAGAGGCAAGCTGGTCACCATCCATCCAGTGCATAACTTAATTGCACCCATTAACTGTGGACTCCCTGCAAACACAGCTGCAACTGGAGCTTGCCTCCTGTAAAGAAACATAAAGATTTACACACCGAAAAGGTAAGTGTACTATTTAGATCACTGATTTATATCAATTCTGAAACAGCAGGCATCTCAATCATGTATTATATACTTGAGTTTCAATGTCAGTGTTTGTTTCATTTATGAATTCATTCAAAAAATTGAGCACCTACTATGTGCCAGGAACTATTTTGAGAGCTGAAAATACAGAAAAAAATTAAGTTTTTATTTTTATTTTTTAATTTATTTTGAGAGAGCAAGAAAGAGCTTGAGAGTGAGTCGGGGTGAGGCAGAGAGAGAGAATCCCAAGCAGACTCCACACCATCTGTCCAGAGCCTGACGAAGGGCTCAATCCCATGAACTGTGAGATCATGACCTGAGCCGAAATCAAGAGTCAGATGCTTAACTTAGTGAGCCACCCAGGTGCCCTAATACAGAAAAATTTTAAAGGTGGGGTGCAGACAAAGTCCCTGCATTTCTTTTTTTTTAATTTGAAACATTTTTTTTTAAATGTTTACTTATTTTTGAGAGAGGGATAGAGTATGAGCTGGGGAGGAGTAGAGAGAGTGAGAGACAGAATCCAAAGCAGGCTCCAAGCTCTGAGCTGTCAGCACAAAGCCTGATGCGGGCTTGAACCCACGAGCTGTGAGATCATGACCTGAGCCAAAGTCAGATGCTTAACCAACTGAGCCACCCAGGCACCCCAAAGTTCCTGCTTTTGAGAGAGATGGGAGAGATATAGGCCAGGTGGTAATAGTACTATTAAAAAATAATGCAGGATATATATAATGACAGGAATTTACTACTTTAGATATTGTAATCAATTCAAGGGTAACAGTGTGAATTCTCAAGTTTATCCTTCTGCAAATATTAACCATCACGACCCAATCCATCTATCCAATCCATCCATCTCCTGCTTCTTCCCGACCTTTACCATGTATCTGTCTGGAGATAACACATGTAGGATTTCTCCACTTTGAAAGATGATCCAAAGCTCCAGACAGATGCCATTTACAAGACTAGGAAACCTAAAAGCAGATGCCAGAGGGTTGCTCTAATGTCTTTACTAACCAATCCATGTATTCAACATTCAGCATCCACCTACTACATGCTAGAGTCAATGCAAAGCTCTTGAAATAAAAGATGCACACAGCCATTGTCTTCAGGGAGCACCCAGTAATGGGGAAATAGACATGAAACAGGATAATTATACCACAGTAATATGTATGTCTAAATGCCTGATGCACAATGTCCAATGTTCAAGCCCCTATGCTGGTTTTGAAAATAATGTGATAAATCACACACCCAAACTTAACTTCATCTTTTGTTAATGACAACACAAAGCTATATAATCAGTGTTCTACAATGGTAATCACAATTCACAAAAAATATTAATGGGCAATAGTTAAAGATGATCTAAAGAAAACAATTTTTATACATATGAAATGTGTATTTACAGTAACAGAACCTTATAATAATACCAATGCTCATTTCTATAAACCTATTCCTCATTTCTAGAAACATTTCTGTCTCTCCCTCCACCCCCCCCCCATATTTTCCTGGCTATTTTTGATAGTGTTTCAGTTCTTTTTCATGTTTTAATTTCTCCTTCTATGTCTTAAACATTTTTCAGTGTAGTTATCTCAATAGTGTCTGTCTACAGGGCAGACTAGTTGTAAAATGGCTGCAATGATTCTTACCTCATATCTATGCTCTCAGAGCAAACAGTGGTCCTGGTAATGTGACTTGCTTTGGCCAATAGAACAACAGAAACAATGTGAGCAGAAACTTTTTAAATGTTTGACTTTGAGATTTGTCCTCTCTTGCTACTCTTAGGAACTCTACAACCACTATCTTCTGAATGAGCCCAGACTACCTGAGTTGGATAATGAAAGGCCCGTGGCCAAGTCAATTCCATTCCCCTAGCTGATACCTACCTGACCTTTAGACATGTGCAAGAGGCCATGCCAGACTACCCAGGTCCAGAGCAGCTGGCCCAGACCAGAAGAACCCACCCCACTGTCCCCACTCACTGAGTGAAAAATAGTGAAAAATAATAAATGTTTATTATTTGCAGCCATTAAGTTTTGTGGTAGTCTATTATGCAGCAGAAACCAACTGACATAAATTTTATTATCAGAAATTTCTAGAGCTCTGGGGCAACTGGCTGGCATAGTCAGAAGAGCGTGTGACTCTTGATGTTAGGGTCATATTGGGTATAGAGTTTACTTAAATATGTAAATAAATAAACTAAAAAAATTGTTAGAGGTCTAATTCTGCTGTTTATCACAAACAGCCGATTCTCACTGTGCTGGACTGTTTCCTCATGTATTTTTTAATTTTAGAGCTCACCTTCATGAAGTTCTATTTGTAGAAACCTGTGTGGCCTGGGCTGAGAACATATCAGACACTCCAAACCACCACAGGACCACTTTTTATGATCATTTCTTGACTGGGGGTTTCCTGGATTAGACAAGCATGATTTCAAACTATAAACCTGTGTGAATTCAGATCCACTGCTGCAAATTCAGAGGAGAGACCTCCAAGAGCTGAAGCCAAGAGAGACAGGCTTTCTCTAACAGTTGATGGTTATTTTTTTGGTCTATCCTATCACTGATAGTGTAGCCCTCTGAGTTTCTCTTACTTATATGTGTGTGTTGGGAGATCTCAATTACAATTCCCTGTATCCATAGGCCAAAGACCGTATCTTCTGTCCTGTGTGGGCCTTAAAATATGCATGGCTGTTAAAACTAAACTTTTAAATCTTGGTAAACTTCATTAATAAGACTAGCAATCCACCACCCACTCACCTCCAACCCAGGGTAAAAGAAACATCCTCTTGACTATCTAAATAAAGGAATATTTGTTTCTTTATATTCCACATTTCTAGGTGTTTGACGACAAGAGTCTCAAATCTCAAACTTATCAATACTATATGTTTTTTTTAACTTTTTATTTATTTAAGTAAGGGGCTTGAACTCACAATCCAGAGATCAAGAGTCACATGCTCTTTTTTTTTAGTTTATTTACTTATTTTTGAGAGAGAGAGAGAGAGAGAGAGCACAAGCACGTGTTTGAGCAGAGGAGAAGCAGAGAGAGAATCCCAAGCAGGCTCTGTGCTGTTAGTGTAGAACCCAACATTGGACTGAATCTCATGACTGTGAGATCATGAACTGAGCTAAAATCAAGAGTCAGATACTTAATCGACTGAACCAACCAGGTGCCTGAGTCACATACTCTTTGGACTGAGCTAGCCAGGCGCCGCTCAATGCTATACACATATATATGTATACATACATTATATATATTTTTTAAGTTTATTTTTGAGAGAGTAAGTGTGTGCACATGAGCAGGGAAGGGGCAGAGAGAGAGAAGGAACCAGAGATTCCCAAGCAGGCTCCAAACTGTAAGCGCAGAGCTCAACAGAAAGGCTCGAACCCATGAACCATGAGATCATAACCTGAGCTGAAATCAAGACTCAGATGCTTAACTGACTAAGCCACCAGGTGATTTAATGCTGTAATTTCAATGGAGAGGAGTTAAATTAGAAAATCAGAATCATAAGTCAATCAAAAACTAAACATCCCTATAAACATGGGGAAAAATTCTGAGTTTTATGAGAACAATTTGGAAAAGCATTAATTTATTATTTCCCCTGAACTGATTAGATAGCATGCAACAATTAATTGTTTAACAAAAGTCTTAAGCAATTCAATTCTTACTTTATCCAGGTCATAAGTTCCACTGTATCTGGGTCATAAAATTCTTGTAGTTCCATTAGTTCTGTCATTAATCTTGGAAAAAACTAAAATGCAAAACAAAATTCCCAAAAAGTATACATAAGTATCCAGAAAGTTTAAAACTGCTCCAGAGTATTTACTAAGAGACTAACATAAGACAAATGACATTATAACATCGTTCTTATGGAAAAATTGTCATGGGTCTTTTTACTTTCTTTCAGTGAGCTGTTCATTCTTCTTAGTCCAAATAATCTAAATAATCTATTTTATGGATAATTTACTGCCTAGACTCAATAAATAATTTTATCATTACCAATTAATCATCAGTTTCATCTTTTTGCAGACACAATTAATTAATTTCACAGGTTTATTGGCAATTCGTTTCATGTTATATTATAATAAACTAAAGGATTTATATTATTTTATAAATATTTAAATTTTGGAGTTGCCAAAATACTCTTTTTAATTCTAGTGTAGTTAACATACAGTATCATATTCATTTCAGGTGTACAATATAGTGATTAAGCAATTCCCTATATTACTCAGTGCTCAAGACAAATGTATATTATATATATAACATTTTTATTATATATAAACACACACATACCACATCTACTTTAGCTTTTCATCTATCAATGGACACTTGGGCTGATTCCATAATTTAGCTATTGTAAATAATGCTGCAATAAACATAAGGGTGCATGTATCACTCTGAATTAGTGTTTTTGTATTCTTTGGGTAAATATCTGGTAGTGCATTTGCTGGATCATAAGGTAGTTCTATTTTTAATTTTTTGAGGAACCTCTATATTGTCTTCCATAGTGGCTATACAGCAAGCATTACCACCAACAGTACATGAGTTTCTATTTCTCCACATCCTCGCTAACATTTGGTGGTTTTTTATTTTTGCTTTTTTAGTTTATTTATTTATATTGAGAGAGAGAGAAAGAGAGAAAGGCAGAGAAAGGAGAGAGAGAATCCTAAGTAGGTTCCACACAGTCAATGTGGAGTCCGATACGGGGCTCGAAATCACAAACTGTGAGTTCATGACCTGAGCAGAAGTCGAGTCATAAGCTCAACAGACTGAACCACCCAGGCGTACTGTAATTTTAATTTTAGCTCTTCTTACCAGTGTGAGGTGGTATCTCTTTATGGTTTTGATTTGCATTTCCCTGATGATGAGTGACGCTAAGCATCTTTTAATGTGCCTCTTAGCCATCTGTATATCTTCCTTGGAGAATTATGTCTTCTGCCCATTTTTAAATTGGATTATTTGTTTTTTAGGTGTTGAGTTGTATCAACTCTTTATATATTTTGGATACTAACCCCTTATCAGATATGTCATTTGCAAACATCTTCTCCCATTCAATAGGTTGTCTTTTTGTTTTGTTGACTGTTTCTTTTGCTCTTTATTTTGATGTAGTCCCAAATACTTTATTTTTACTCTTGTTTCCCTTGTCTCAGGAAACATATCTAGAAAAATCTTGCTACGAACAATGTCAGAGTAATTAATGCTTATGTTCTCTTCCAGGATTTTTATGGTTTCAGGTCTCACATTTAGGTCCTTAGTCCATTTTGAGTTTATTTTTGTGTATATTGTAAGAAAGCGATCCATGTTCATTGTTTTGTATCTAGTCCACCCAACACCATTTGTTGAAGACTATCGTTTTCCCATTGCATATTCTTGCCTCCTTTGTTGAAGATTAATTGATTATATAATTGAAGATTTATTTCTGGGCTTTCTATTCTAGAAGTTCCATTGATCTATGTGTCTATTTTTGTGCCGGTACCATACTGCTCTGATTACTAAAGTTTTGTAATATAACTTGAACTCTGGGGTCATGATACTTTCAGTTTTGCTTTCCAAGACAGCTTTGGCTATTTGGGGTCTTTGGTGGTCCCATACAAATTTTAGGACTGTCTGTTCTAATTCTACTGGTATTTTGATACAGATTGCATTAAAATGTGTAGATTGCTTTAGGTAGTATAGACATTTTAACAATATTTGCTTTTTTCCTTTTTTTTGTTAAGTTTATTTTTATTTTGAGAGAGATAAAGTGCAAGCAGGGGAGGGACAGAGAGAGAGGGAGACAGAATTCCACACAGGCTTCACGATGTCAGTGGAGAGCCCAAAGCAGGGCTCAAACTTACAAACTGTGAGACCACGACCTGACCAAACTCAAGAGTCAGACGCTTAACCCAGGCACCCCCAACATTTGTTCATCTAATCCATGAGCATGTGACATCTTTCCATTTCTTTGTGTCATCTTCAATTTTTTTCATCAGTGTTTTACCATTTTCAGAGTACAGGTCTTTCATCTCTTTGGTTAGGTTTATTCCTAGGTATCTTACTATTTTTGGTATAAATGTAAATGGGATCATTTTTTTTTTTAATGTTTATTTAGATTTGAGAGAGAGAAAGAGACAGAGTACAAGTAGGGGATGGACAGAGAGAGAGAGACAGAATCCGAAGTGGGCCCCAGGCTTTGAGCTGTCTTCACAGAGCCATATGCGGGGCTCGAACTCATGAGCTGTGAGATCATGTCCTGAGCTGAAGTCGGATGTTCAACCAACTGAGACACTTGGGATCATTTTCTTAATTTCTCTTTCTGCTGCTTATTAGCGTATAGAAACTGCAACAGATTTCTGTACATTGATTTTGTATCCTGCAATCTTACTAAATTCATTTATCAGTTCCAGTAGGTTTTTTAGTGGAGTCTTTAGTTTTCTTTTTTCATTTTTTTTCAAGTTTATTTATTTTGAGAGGGAAAGAGAGAGAGAGGATAAGTGAGGGAGGAGTAGAGAGAGAGGAAGAGAGGGAATCCCAAGTAGGCTCTGTGCTGTTAGGGTAGAGCCTGCTGCAGGGCTTAACTCACGAATGTGAGATCATTACCTGAGCTGAAATAAGAGTTGGGACGCTTAACCAACTAAGCCAACCAGGTGTGCCCTTTTAATTTTTTTCAAAAAACAAAGTTTAGGGGCACCTGGGTGGCTCAGTTGGTTAAGCGTCCGACTTCGGTTCAGGTCATGATCTCATAGTTCGTGGGTTCGAGGCCCGCGTCGGGCTCTGTGCTGACAGCTAGCTCAGAGCCTGGAGCCTGCTTCGGATTCTGTATCTCCCTCTCTCTCTGACCCTCCCCTGATCACGCTGCCTCTCTCTCTCTCTCTCAGAAATAAATAAAACATTAAAAAAAATTTTTTTAATAAAGTTTATTTATTTACTTAAGAGACAGAAGGCAAGTCAGGGAGGGGCAGAGAAAGGAGAGTGAGAATCCCAAGTAGGCTCTATGCTGATAGCAAGGAGCCCAATGTGAGGCTCAATCCCACAAACCATGAGATCATGACATGAGCCAAAATCAAGAGTCAGACGTTTAACCCCCTGAGCCACCCAGGTGCCAATAGAGTTTTCTATATATAATATCATGTCATTTGCAAATAAGGAAAGTTTTACTTCTTCTTGACCATTGTGAATGTCTTTAACTCCTTTCTTTGGTTTGACTGCTATGGTTAGGACTAACTTCCAGTACTATGTTGAATGAAAATGATGAGAGTGGACATCTTTCTCTTGTTCCTGACCTTAGAAGTATACATCTGTTTTTCAACACTGAGTATGATGTTAGTTGTAGGTTTTTCATGCCAAAATACTTTTTTTAATATTATCACCTATTTATTCAGTAATTTCCTTTGCCAGTGGGTGCCTGGGTTTATGGGATTAAGCCCTGCGATGGGCTCTCCACTAAAGGCGTGGAGCTTGCTTGGGATTCTCTCTCTCTCTCTCTCTCTCTCTCCCTTTCTGCTTCTCCCCTATTAGCACACACACACACACACACACGCATGCTCTCTCTCAAGATAAACATTTAAATATAAATAAATAAAAAAGGAGTCTATAGAAAATTGCATCACGTGGTATTCTAAAAATGTTTTAACTCTTTTATTATGTTCCTAATGATAAAAAATTAGCATACTAAGAGTATCACAGGATATTTGGTTAGAAAAGCATATCAATATAAATATGCTACACACATATAAATTTATCACTATCTTATAAAGTACATTTTCACAATATAAAAATCTGTTTTTCTTACCTCTTTCCATAAGCTGAGACCTATTATAGTGGGCACAGCCATGCTCAGAATAAGGGCCTAAAATATTAAAACAAAAATGATTGTGGATAAATACATTTCAGAATGTACAGGAGGTACTAGACATTGACTCTATGATCAATCACAGATTCTTACAGTTATAAAAATTTCAACCAGAGAAACTGAAGTCAATGTAGAACCTAGGTTCACAGAGTGAAATGGGTGGAAATTAATTAATTTAAAACATATCAAGCAGGAGGTACAGTGAGACATACACATTTACTATATAAATTGAAGGCAGAACATAAAAAAGGTAACGCTTATAGTAATATTTCAGATGCTAAATCAATATTTGACAATTCTGCCAGGAATTTAAGTTATGAAGAGCTTACAAAGGACACTGCACGGTGCTACTTAAAAGCTAGTAACAAAAAGGCAATGAATTAACCCAGGAGAAATATCAATACATATCAATACACAAGTATGCTAAAATACGAACATATAAATTCCTCTGGAAAAAGACTGGCAAAACACAATATGACTATTACTAAAGATAATTATTTATCATCTCTTTGCCACAACCTGTTCCTCCTATTGTCCTATGTCTGTTGGTAACCCCACAATCCACAGTCACACAAACTAGAGACCTAGGAAATATCTATGACTTCTCCCTCCATACTAATGAAGCACCAAGTCTCACTAACCTTCTTTTCTAATTATTTTTTTTTTTACTCCAGTATAGCATAGTATTTAAGTGAATGGGCCCTGGAGTCAGAAAAACCTGGGTGTAAATCATGGTTTTCACACACTTATAAGCTATGTGATCTCAAGCAAGTTATTTAACCAGATTAACTCTTAGTTTCTTTGTCTATAAAATACAGATACTAAAATTTAGCTGTTGGGGCCTTTGTAAGGATTGAACAGCACATAAAATGTTTTATAAACAGTACCCGACACGTGGTGTACACTCAATATACTGAGGTTTTTATCACTTCCATTCACCATGGCCAGTACCTCCTTAGCTTGAATTTGTCACCTTCAAGTCTTTCCTTCAAAGAATTATAAGTGTAAGCTGAGAGAAAATGAAGTATTGACTCTCTCACACTCACACATAAACACTTCAATGATTTTCTACTGCCTACAAGATAAGACCAAGTGTCTTATATTCAAAGGCCTCCATGACCTTACACATCTCAAATTTCCCAGTCTCATTTCTTGACCACCCTCATCTCACATTTTATGTGCCAAGAAAAGTAAACATGTTTTTTCTTTGCCTCTGTTTTTATTCCCTTTGATTACAATGTGTTCTTTGCCTATCTATGTTTATTCCTTCTGCCATGAATGCCCACCCTTTTTCTTTCCCACCCATGCAAGTAATAACTTATCATCTTTCAAATCTCAGACTGAGAAGTCTTTGAAGCCCTAACAAAACTAAATTAAGTAGCCCTACTTTGTGTTCTAATAGTACGGTATCAATACTTCTTATTATTTGTTTTTATGAATGGGAGACTGTAATCTACCTGATGAAATTAATTAGCATTGTAAGTTCACTGCACATTGCAGGCACAGTGAAAATGTTGTATTCACATTGAAAACATAACAATAGTTCAGGGCACCTGGGTGGCTCAGTTGGTTAAGTAGTTAGGTGTCTCACTCCTGACTTTGGTTCAGGTCATGATCTCACAATTTGTGGGATCAAGCCCCATACTGGGTTCTATGCTGACAGTGTAGAGCCTTCTTGGGATTCTCTCTCTCCCTCTCTGTGCCCCTCTCCTGCTCATTCTCTCTCTCTAATAAAAAAACCAAACAATAAAAAAGAAATAAAACATATAATAGTTCCAAATCAAATCAAGAATATTTTAATTTCAAAAATGTTTTTAAATTTATTTATTTCTGAGAGAGAGTGAGCATGAGCAGGGGAGGGTCAGAGAGGGAGGGAGACACAGAATCTGAAACAGGCTCCGGGCTCTGAGCTAGCTGTCAGCACAGAGTCCGACACGGAACTTGAACCCACGAACCATGAGATCATGACCTGAGCCGAAGTCGGAGGCTTAACCAACTGTGCCACCCAGGCGCCCAAAGAATGATATTTTAGAAATTAGTTCTTTTCGATTTTATTTTTTGTTTTATTATTTATTTTTGAGACAGAGAGACAGAGCATGAGAAAGGGAGGGGCAGAGAGAGGGGGAGACCTAGAATCTGAAGGAAGCTCCAGGCTCTGAGCTGCAAGCACAGAGTTCGACATGGGGCCCAAACTCACAAACCACAAGATCATGACCTGAGTTGAAGTCAGATGCCCAACTCCCAAAATTAGTTCTTTTTTAATAAAGTTTTTAAAAGTTTATTTATTTTGAGACAGAGAGAGAGAGAGAGAGAGAGGCATGCAAGCAGAGGAGGGGCGGGGGGGGGGGCGGGGAAGAGACAGAATCCCAAGCAGGTTCCACACTGGCAGCCCAGAGCCCAATGCAGGGCTTTATCTCACAAACTGTGAAATCATGACCTGAACCAAAACCAAGAGCCACATGCTCAACCAACCAAACTACCCAGATGCCCCTAAAAATTAATTCTTGATTGCCTCTAACATTATTGATTCACTTATATTTTTACTTTTTATTTTACCTGTCTGCATTTAAATCAGAAATCCTAAAGGGATCTTTTTCACCTTTAAATCATAATATAATTTACTCACACTATTTCAATTGTATTCAATTGTAGTTTCCATTTATATAGTTGAAAGAGAAACAAGTACTTAACATAAAATAATAATGACTCACCAATAATACTGGATGTACCGTTCGTAATCGAAGCCACTTGAAAAGTGTCATCCAAAGTTCAGGAGAACATACACCGAATGCTGCTAACATGCATACATAAGGAGTCCAGAGGTATTTCAAGCTAGAAAGACAATGGGAGTCACATATTAGATATCCTATCAACATCATTACTATCTAATTTCTCTCTCTTTTTAAAGAGATTTTATTTTTTTAAGCAATCTCTACACCCAATGTGGGGTTCAAACTCATAATCCGAAGATCAAGCATTGCATGCTTCATTGAGCCAGCCAGGTGCCCCGATCTCTTTTCTGAGTTCTTTCCTACTACTCATGAAAATACCACAATGTTAAGGGAAAATGAAAAGCTTAGCCTCTAGCTTTCAACAAGTTATTCATTTCTTAAATAATCAAGAAGACATGCAGGTTACTAAAATGAGGATGAAATAAGAGCATTAATATAGATGAGAGTGTAGTAAAATTGTACTCTTCTAGAGAATATAAACCTGCTATACTTTTCCAGAAGGCAATTTGGCAGAACCTTTAACAAATATTTTAAAGTTTTTAGTTTTATTTCATGTTTATCTTTGAGAGAGAGAGAGAGAGAGAGAGAGAGAGCGAGAGCGAGAGCACGAGCAAGCACAGGAGGGGCAGAAAGAAAAAGAGAGAATCCTAAGCAGTCTCTGCACTGCTAGTGCAGAGCCCTGCGTAGGGCTCGAACCCATGAATCGCAAGATCATGACCTGAGCTAAAATCAAGAGTTAGACGCTTAACCAAATGAGCCAGCCAGGCACCCCAAACCTATAAAAATACTCCAAGACAACCCCATTTCTAGTAAAGTTAGCCAACAGATATATTAGTATATGGGTACAAAGATACAAACGTTTTAACTGCAGTATGTTGTTTTAATAGAAAAAAAATAGAAACCTGCCCTTCAGCAGCTATTAATTAAATAATTATGAAAAACATAAAAGCAAAATGTAAAATGCAGGTACTACATACTGCTACCCTAGCTTTTCAGTGATTTAAAAAAATGTAGGGGCGCCTGGCTGGCCCAGCTGGTAGAGGATACAGCAGCTCTTAATCTCAGAGTTGTAAATTTAAGCTCTGCATTGGGTATAGAGATTACTTAAAAATAAAATCTTAACAAAAATGAATACTGACTTGGACTTTGAGAGAAGTAGTAGATGTATACAGAATACATGTTGCTAAGACAAAGGAACTGTATTAATTTCCTCTAGTCAACCAATATTTCCTCCTAATTACCCTCATTCCTGCTATTCTTCACGTCACCCAGAAGCAAAACTAGAGTCTGGTTTATAACTCCAGGAGACACCATTCACATTGAATTACCTGTATGTAACATTCCCTGGAACACCAACTCCCTGGTCTAGAGATTACACCATTATGTCCAATCCAATGATATCTCTGTATCCAACTCTTCCTTACCATTTTATTGCAATAGCCTGCTAATTAACATCTCTACCTTTTTTTGTTTTTTAGTAATTTCTATATCCAATGTGGGGCTCGAACTTATGATCCCAAGAAAAGAGTTGAATGCTCTTCCCACTGAGCCAGCCAGGTGCCCTAACATCTTTAGACTCTCCTCCAATCAAACGCCATATGAACCTTCTTCAAACACAATTACAAGACACTTTTTGTTAAAAAGTCGTTAGTGCTTCCCTAGAATCTACTGAAATAAATCTAAATGGCTTCAGGGCCCTCAAGAATATGCTCTTGATTCACCTTTTCAGTTTTTCTGACTTTCTTAAAAATGATTAATGTTCTAACCAGAGTTTACAGAACAATCTCAAGTATTTCCATCCCATAATGCACATAAGTGTCTCCCTCTTGATACAAGCCCCATCCCCGTCTAGCGCTGTCTTAGACTCTGATTCCCATTACAGTCAGATCCCTTGAGGGCCATGCTTACCTCTCCTGTCTACCTCTCCTTCTACTCTCTGATTATGTACTCCTTTAAAAACTCCTTTGGCTTCTGAGTCACAATTCTTCCTAAAGTCCCTCCACCACAATCCCTACTGCTACTTACTCAGTTTCCAATTCCCAAATATTTTAGTTTTGGCTCCCTTCCTCCATCTCCATTGCTACTCATTTCTATATTCTATTAGGACACCTTCTTAACGGGCTTATCATCCTTTAATCTTGTTTTCCTCAATTACTGCTGCCAGAGAGATCTTATTAAAAGCAAATCCGACATAACATTTTTATTTATTTTTAAGATAGAAAGAGAGAGAGAGGGTGGGAGCGAAAGAATCCCAAGCAGGCTCTGCACTGTCACTGCAGAATGTGATGAGGGGCTTGAACCCATGAACTATGAGATCATGACCTGAGCTGAAACCAAGAGTCGGATGCTTAACCAACTGAGCCACCGAAGCACCCTTGATATTCATCCTGTCCAGATTATTACACATACACGCAGGCAGATAAGAAAATAAACAGCTTGGCCAACCTCTATTTATCTCTGAAGGCTGTTACCCCATTTAGGAAATCTTCCTTAAATTGACTTCCTCTGCCCACCCTCTACAACTGAGTTAGTATCTTTCCTCTGAGTGACTAAAGCACCCTTTTCATACCTTTCTCATAGCACTTACTTTGCTCTAACTCTTGGTTTACTTACTCTTTGAAACAAAAGAGTACATTTTGTATTTCTTTAATCCCTACTGCCTACTTAACAGTGTGCCTGGCACATTCTGGGTGACTATGCATATTATCTGTATGAACAGGTAGTCATATTATAGGCCTAGTGAGTAAATTAAAGAAGTAAAGATGAATGAGAGAATAATCCATATCACTTGTTCGAAAAAAGGATCTTGAATTTAAAATAGTAGATCCAACAAGGAAGAATGGTGAGGATAACAAAAAGTTTTCTGCAGAGAGAAATAGAGAGAGTACAGGGAGAAAAAAGGTAAACCATGGACCAAAAATCCACTACTAAAAGGCAATGAAATGAAAATCAAAACATGAATCACTCAGAATATTCATGATTTAATACATTTCTTCATCCTACTTATTAGGCATTATGGAATGCTATTAGAATGAACCACCATTCTTGCTTCATGGTTCAATAAAAGATTCCCACTAGTCAGGGGTTTGGCAGTCTGATAAAGTCTATGGATGCCTTATAAGAAAAATGGTTTTATTTTATTTTTTAAAGTTTATTTATTTAAGAGCGAGCATGCATGTGTGTGAGTGGGGGAGAGGCAGAGGAGGAGCAGAGAATTCCAAGCAGGTTCCATGTCATCAGCATGGAGCCCAACACGGATCTTGAACCCACAAACCGTGAGATCATGACCTGATCCAAAATCAAGTTAGACGCTTAACCGAGTCATCTAGATGCCCCAAGAAAATGTTTTTAAATGCATAAAATACATAGGTTTACAAAGGAAATCAATTATACTGAAATACTGATATCAAATTATAAAAACAGATTTATAATACAGCATATTTGTACTTCTTAATGTTAAATACAGGTCCAATAACTGTAACTTTGAGGTTGTAATGTATATAAACAGTATTACGAGATAAAAAATTAATATTTGAAAACAGCTAAGCTGTCTTTTTGGAAAAGCACCATGGGACTGTGATTCAGTATCTATAGTCATAATTTTAAAAATTTAACTTGAGAAGTCTTATACTAGGATCAATACTCTTCATCTCTCCCTACTTCCTTTCTTATCCCTCAATCTCAGAATTGTAATGGCTCCTCTTCACGGCAGTGAATTACGTGATTTGTGTACAAGAGGAAGAATTCAGCATATCCAGCTCAAACATTTCTAGGCAACCATATTTTGTATCTTCCTTTTGCAAGGTAGGTGTAGACAGGGGCATAAACTTACCAAGGCTCTACCGATTCAAGAGGGAAAGCCTGCAGTTTGAGGACTAAGGTCAATTTGGGGTGGCAAATAGTAGAAGCCCTTTGTTGACACATGAAGAAGTGTTCTCCAATGCAACCTTCGTAGAATCAGAATTATTCAGATAATTGAAATATATTTCTCATATAGATTTGGTCTTTGTACAGTTCCTGGCTCACAGCTCCCAAAACTCTTAGAATTTCCTAAGTGATGAAAGTGGAAAGGTGTCTTTTTTTTATGTTAATGGTAACTTTTGGTAGGCACCCAAGGATGGGGCTGGTTGCCAGTAGAGCCGACCATGTGATTAGGGAGTTGGAATTCTCTGTCCCACTCCAAACTTCTGGGGAGGGAAAAGGGCCTCGAAGGTTGAGTTCAATCACCAATGGCCAATCATTTAATCAATCATGCCTATGTAATGAGGCCTCCATAAAAAACCCAAAAGGACAGGGTTCGGAGAGCTTATGGGTTGGTGACCACGTGTAGACTTGGAGAGAGTGGTACACCTACAGAGATAACGGGAGCTTATCTTCCTAAAAACCTTGCCCTCTACCTATCCTTCATCTGGCTGTTCCTGAGTTATATCCTTTTATAATAAACTGGTGATCTAGTAAGTAAAATGTTTCTGAGTTCTGTGAGCTGTCCTGGCAAGCTAATTGAACCTGAGAAGGAGGACCTATGAATTTCTGATTTATAGCCAGTTGGTCAGAAGCACAGGTAATAAACCTGGATTTGCAACTGGCACCTGAAGTGGGGGAGGGGCAATCTTGTAGGACAGAATCCTTGAACTGTGGAATCTGATGCAGTCTCTAGCTGGACAGTGCCAGAATTAAGTCAAAGTGAAGGACATTCAGCTGGTACCTGGACAACTGCTTGTTGCTGGTGTGGGAAAAGCCCCTCCTCAAATTGAAATTGGGTATTCAAAATCATTTTATACTCCTATGTTTTATTTTTCATCTGAGTCCAAACTTTAAAGAAAAGGGTATCGTTTATTGAACCCTTAACCACACAGAATGATTTACTACTCTCTCATTTAACAAAGTTGTAATTTTATTTTGTCTGATTAGTTTCTGTCACCTCCTTTAGGCCATATAAGTCACATAAGGTTAGAGACTGTGTGTCCACTTTTGCTCACCAATGCCCCTAGTACAATGCTTGTTGCCTGGAAGACATTCAGTAGTTTTCAAACAAGTGAGTAAATAAGTAAATGTCAGTTCACTGTACTATAAACACCTCTGTAAACTCCAGATAAATTAAGAAAGTTTGTAGATTTTGAGTTTTTATATTTTCATGAGTATATTCTTTTTTTTTTTTTTTTTAATGTTTTTGTTTTGTTTTAGAGAGTGCAAACGGGATAGGGACAGAGAGACAGACAGACAGACAGACAGAGACACAGAGAGAAACCCAAGCAGGTTCTACAATGTCAGAGCAGAGCCCAATGTAAGGCTCAAACTTAGGAACCGTGAGGTCACGACCTGAGCCAAGATCCAGAGTTGGACGCTTAACAAACTGAGCTGCCGAAGCACCCCTCATAAATGTATTCTTGACAATATCCACTTACTATCATCAGAAAGGACAATTGTTTGTAAAAATAAGTAGCTCCAATAAAGTACACTTACCCTTCTATAACCATTGCAAGAGAGCCCAATAAAATAGTGTGAATCACATGATAAATTATTTCTGGCCTTCCTCCAATTCGTCCATCTTCCAGAGTAATAGTTTCTTTCAAGGACTTGCCACTACACAAAAGACATTATGTTGTTTATGATTTTGAAAAAATGTATTTGAAAATAATCAAAGATCTTAAATTTCTTCATAAAAAGAAATACAGGTGGTTCTTGAAATCTGAAAGTATATTCTGATAGTCAAATGCCTAACTTATACATCTCCAAGTCCTTGAAAGGGCTTTTAGAACCTGAAGACAATGGACTCAGTGAAGACTAAATATGAAAGTTCAGGAAACATGACAGAAAAGACTTTTAGGTTCCTTTTCCAAGATTAAGTATCACTCAACTAGTGTTTACTAAATCAACATAGTTTAACCATAATTTGAATAACTAAGTTCTCAAAATTGAATTACTACACAAAACCTACTTTCAAACATGACAAAAACATTTTAAAATAGTCTTGATAATTTAAAATCACTAGCATTACTAGTTTCATGTAGGTTAAATAGAAAAAATTATTCTTACATTAAGTAAAAATATGACTAAATTAGCGAAGGAGTCTAACAGTTTAAATGAATATTATTCCTACATTAAATTTGTACATCATGTATTTAGTTATATAAACAAATTTGAATATTATCTGGTTAAGCTATAACAATATTTTCCACGTTCATAACAAGAGAATGGAACTAGAAACTCTAAAACAAATACACAAATATTGGAAGGATATTAAAAATAGAGAGTTTATGTATTTCCATAATGTATTAGTTGGCAATGTAATGATTATCATAGGTACTTACTTAATTCTCCTAAATATAACTTGCATCATAGAAAGAAAACAAATAATTAACACTAAAACGTAGAAAGGCAATAAAGAAGACTGTGTCAATCGCAAAAAAAAATCTTGAGATGGTGCCTGAAGGGATTCTTGACATAGGAGCCAATTCATGGTAAAATTCCTTGAGAAAACAAAAAGCATATTAAAATCACAGATGTTATAAACCACTGAACATAAAATTATTTTTTACTCAATAAAAACTAATATAAAACACAAAACACATTTCCTAAATCCACTTGTTAAGAGCAAAGCACTACCCTTTATAAATGAAGATAACAGCATTAGTAACACTTCTCAACAAATTGCCCTAATAAATGTAAAACCACTGCTTTTTATTATCTAATAATGTGACCATCTCTAGAATTCAATATGGTTTCAAGGGAGTTTCACTTTCTATTTTTATCTGGAAAACAACAAAAAATTCAGCTGTTCAACCCTCATATCTGCAGTGTTCAATATGGTAGCTACTAGATACAATGTGGCTATTAGCACTTGAAATGTGGCCAATGCAAATGGGGATCTACTTCAAGTACAAAATAAATCCTGGATTTCAAACATAAAAAAAATGAAAAAGGACAAAAGAAGACAAAATAGCTTATTAATAACTTTATACTTATTAATATTTAATATTTAAATAAATCAGATTAAATAACATTTATTATCAAAATAAAATTCTCTTGTTTCTTTTTATTATTTTATTTAAAAAAATTTTCCCCTTTGCATTTTATTTTATTTTTTTACAAATAGTTTATTGTCAAGTTGGTTTCCATAGAACACCCAGTGCTCATTCCCACAAGTGCCCTCCTCCCTGCCCATCTCCCCCTTCCCCTTTCCCCCACCCTCATCAGCCCTCAGTTTGTTCTCAGCATTCAAGAGTCTCTCATGGTTTGCCTCTCTCCCTCTCCCCCACTACTTCCCCCCTTCTCCTCCATGGTATTTTATTTAAAATTTTTAATGTTTATTTATTTTTGAGAGAGAGAGACATAGTGTGCCCGGGGGAGGGGCAGAGAGAGAGGGAGACACAGAATTTGAAGCAGGCTCCAGGCTCTGGGCTGTCGGCACAGAGCCCAATGCAGAGCTTGAACTCACTAACTGTGAGGTCATGATCTGAGCTGAAATTAGATGCTTAACCTACTGAGCCACCCAGTACCCCTTTTTACTTTTTTTAATGTGGCTCCTAGAAAATTACACATGCGACTCATGCTATATTATTGTTAGATAGTCCTGTTTTATATGGATAAATGTAATTCAACTAGGACTCATTTTTTAAAATATTTTTTAAAGTTTATTTTTGAGAGATAGCATGCACATGAGCGAGTAGGCGAGGGGCAAAGAGACAGGGAGACAGAGAATCCCAAGCAGGCTCCCTGCTGTAAGTTCAGAGTTGGACATGGGGCTCAAACTCACGAACCATGGATCATGACCTGAGCTGAAATCAAGAGCTGGATGGTTAACCCAATGAGCCACCCAGGCACCCCATGGGACCCATTTTAAAAAGAGTAATCTAATTATTAAGACAGAAGTCATAAAATTTGAAACTCAAACATTTCGAGCTATAAGAATCAGGGTAAACTTTTTTTGACCCTAAGCTAAATATGATTAACAAGTCTCCTAGTTATATATAGTTATCTGTATTCTCACACCTGATCCATCTCCAACCACCATTTTATCCTCAATCCCTAACCCTGGGAAAGGAGGTAAGAGATAGAGTGATCTTCAGGAGAGCTCATGTGGCCTGAGAATGCCTGCTTCACAAACCACTGGGTTTAGAACTAACAGTTATTAATGTTTCAGAACGAGTCAAGCAGCAATACAAATGTATCAGAGAGGCTGCTATCCAAATATCTTGTATATATGATCATATGATGAATTCATGTCTTTTTTATCTGCCTGTTAAAGTTACTAATTCTGTAAGATCCAATTCAAATCTCAATTTCATGAATATTCTTCCCACATCCCTCAGTCTCAACCTTTCCTTCCCCATGTTCCTATGGCACTTTACTTATCCTTCTATTAGAGTGCTTAATACAATTTGCTAGTTTAAGATTATAGTCATTTTTTATGGGGCGCCTGCGTGGTTCAGTTGGTTGGTTAAGTGTTTGACTTTGGCTCAGGTCATGATCTCACAGTTTGTGGGATCGAGCCCTGCGTCAGGCTCTGTGCTGACAGCTAGCTGAGAGCCCGGAGCCTGCTTCGGATTCTGTATCTCCCTCTCTCTCTGACCTGCTCATACTGCCTCTCTTTCAGAAATAAATAAAAACATTTAAAAAATTGTTAAAAAGAGATTATAGTCATTTTTTAATCTCTCAGGATACCTGGCCTAGTATCCTGCATATCCAACATATATTTATTAAGATTTCTTTAGTGGTTCTTGAAAGTCTGTCTCAACAGAAATGTTTCCTGACATTCTGGTGAACTACAAACCCTACCATCCAGCTGGCACATTTGAGTGTAAGGCATTTACTATTTATACCACCCATGTCATTAACTGTATATAAACTATCTAATGAGATGTCAATATTCTTAAGGACAGAGACCCTATCTTACACTTAAAACACCTAATGTACTACCTTGTGAAGCAAATCTAGTATCTGACATGCTGAACAAAGGGGCACTATAAAGCATCAACTAAGAAATGCAAGACAAAAGCAGCCCTTAATCTTACGTGAATTCTAGAGTTTTCCAAGGTTAAAGAAAAGGTCAGGGGAAAGGATGGTCAATTATGGAGGTCTATAACCAATTTTTCCTAATTGCCTGCTAAGTGTCAGGCCTATAAATATACCTCAAAAAGACATGATCCCTGCTCTTACCAACTATATGGCCTCTTATAGGATCATTTTACCTCAGTAGATATCCATAACTGACTTAAACTTCAGATTTCTCAAGTGTTTATACCTTGTGAAACGCTTTACTAACTATGATATACCACAACATGAAATTCCATGCACAGCATCTAAAATCGCATGTAATCACAGCAAATTATAAGGTTCTTAGGTATATTAAAAGAACTAGAAAAATGCATAAATACATTTTTTCTGTTATGCAGGTGAACTCCATCAGTACATAAGTCATTTGTTTTGCTTTAGATTTTAAAAATGCATTTAACAGGGGCACCTGGGTGGCTCAGTCGGCTAAGCGTTCGACTTTGGCTCAGGTCACGATCTCACAGTTTGTGAGTTCGAGCCCTGTGTTAGGCTCTGCGCTGACAGCTTCAGATTCTGTGTCTCCCTCTCTCTCTGCCCCTCCCCTGCTCACATTCTCTCTCTCAAAATAAACATTAAAAACAAAAATTAGAAAAAATTTAACAAACAAAAGATATATTATTCTTGAATTTAAAAAGTCAGCTTCTGATCTAATCCACTATTATGATCCCTGAATGAGATTCTTTGCTATGAAATAAATTCTTACTGTCCATCACTTTTTAATACAAGGAGTGTTTAGTGGTTAAAATTACACTGGTTCTTGCGGGGCCTGGGTGGCTTAGTCTGTTAAGTGTCCAACTTTGGCCTAGGTCATGATTTCACCGTTCCTGAGTTCTAGCCCTGCATTGGGCTCTGTGCTGACAGCTCAGAGCCTGGAGCCTATTTTAGATTCTGTGTCTCTCTCTCTCCTTCTCTGCCTCTCCCCCACTCACACACACTCTCTCTCAAAACTAAACATAAAAATTTTTTAATTTAAATTACACTAGCTCTTTATTTATTTTAAATCTTTAATTTATTCTGACTTTAGACTGTATCATTGTTCCACATCAAGAGAAAAAATACTCTCAAAACACTGTTTTGCTATTAGGACTTAAAGTACCTCTAATTTATAAAACACCCAAATGAGATTTTTTTTAAATGAGAAAAAATATTAATGTTATATTTCTTCTAGATATAATTTTCCAAATTATTGGGACACCTGGGTGGCTTAGTCGGTTAAGTGTCCGACTTTCGCTTAGGTCATGATCTCGCGGTTTGTGGGTTTGAGCCCCGTGTTGGGCTCTGTGCTGACTGCCAGCTCAGAGCCTGGAGCCTGTTTCAGAGTCTGTCACTCCCTCTCTCTCTGACCCTCCCCTGCTCACGCTGTCTCTCTCTCTCTCTCCTAGAAATAAAAACATTAAAAAATATATTAAAAAAAAAAATTTTCCAAATTATTTATTTGGAAGTAGTGGCGCCTACTACTCCTTGGATTATTTTTGCTCTATATTTTCTAAGTGGTATAGAGTTAGATAAATTAAAAGAAATTTTTTTTAATGTTTCTTTATTTTTGAGATAGAGTGACAAAGCGTGAGAAGGGGAGGGGCAGAGAGAAGGAGACACAGAATCTGAAACAGGCTCCAGGCTCTGAGTTGTCAGCACATTGAACTCATGAGCTGTGAGATCATGACCTGAGCCAAAGTCGGATGCTTAACCGAATGAGCCACCAAGGTGTCCCTAGATAAATTTTTATATAATCTAAAACCTATTAGGGCACCTGAGTGGCTCAGCCAGTTAAGCATCCAAATCCTAGTTTCAGCTCAGGTCACATACTCACAATTTGTGGGTTTGAGCCCCGTTCTGTGCTGATGGCACCAAGCCTGCTTGGGATTCTCTCTCTCCCTCTCTGCCCCTCCCTGACTCATGCATGCAATCTCTCTCTCTCAAAATAAATAAATAAACTTAAAACAAATAATAATAAAACTTACTTAGTCATATTTAGTCCAAATTTTACTTCAAGGAATTTCAGCATGTGCCCATTTTCTTTGTGTGGGACAAACATCTGGAAGTAAAAATCACTAGTTACAACAAAGAACTATTAGCTATGCTCAGAGCAGTATGTTTCTGTCTAGAAATAGAAAATACAGCAAGACTATAAAACAAAAAATATGAATTAAAAAGGAATTAAATAATACATGGCATACGTATGAAGCAAGGAGACTTACTTGACCTACTCTTTTGAACATTTTTACTCATCTAAATTTATTCCATATATTACTTAATGTTAACTGGGTAATGACAATATTTTAAATGAATTGGAAAATAAAGTGTATCTTTTAAGTATAGAAAAGAATCAGAATCCTATTTTCTCTTGTAAGTATGATCATTGTTCAACCTGAAATTTTACTGTATAAACTCTATTATCATGCTGTGTCAATATGCTTGTTAAAATTTAGCCCAGTACTTTCATTATTCAGCTTGCTCTTCTATATGAATCTCAGACCTAGAGTTATTTACCTTCATTATAATATTCAATGTCACTGTCAGAGTGCACACCAAGTAAAAATTAATCACTTTCATTATTTTAGCTATAAAAGTTCCTTTCTTCACATTCAGCTGTAAGAAAAAAAATCATGAGCAAATAAGTAAGGCATGAAAAATTAACAATTAAAAAATGTACAGAAATGATAAAAAGTCAATTCTTATTACCTGAAGGCACTTAGCAAGCATTAAGGCTACTACTAAACTTAATAAAGGAGACACCAATAAAGCTGAATTCTCAAACTGCAGTAAATATCCCAGAAAGAGAGAAAATATATAGATTTTATAAACTTCATGAACCTGTTGGAACAAAAGAAGATAAATGAGAATAAAATGAATCTTATTGTGTATCTTTTTATTAGTTTTGTTTAGAAGAGATTTGACTCCAATTATAAAATAAATGCTTTACTATAATTTGGGATATATGATACACATGTTTAAACTGTATTTTCAATGTTATGGTATATAATCAATTTATTATTTTCTTAGGAATAACTCTTGTAAGCAAAGTAAAAAGCTTTAAAACAAAGGACATCTAGATCAGACTGAAAAAAATCTTATTCCTAGACTCTGGTTTAATTTTACTTGGCTTACCCTGTTATTAAAATCCATCTCTACATCATCAAACTGCATAAATCAAAAATTAAAATCTTTAGCAACAGTTCCCAAAACCTACCTAGTAAAAACATATTACCATGAAATATAGCACCAGAGACAAGCATTTTTAGATTTGGTCCATTTAATAGTGAGCATAAGAAAGTTAAAGTCAGGGGTGCCTGGGTGGCTCAGTTGGTTAAGCGTCCGACTTAGGCTCAGGTCATGATCCCACGGTTCGTGGGTTCAAGCCCCGCATCAGGCTTTGTGCTGACAGCTAGCTCAGAGCCTGGAGCCTGTTTTGGATTCTGTGTCTACCTCTCTCTCTGACCCTCCCTTGCTCACGCTGTCTCTCTCTCTCTCTCTCTTTCTCTCTGAAATAAAAAAAAAAAAAATTAAGAAAAGAAAAAGAAAAGAAAGTTAATGTCAATGTCCCAATAGAAAATCTCCAGGAAAGTTGTTCATCTTAGAAAATTTCTTTTCTAAAATTCAATAATACAGTAATTTTTTCTACCATAGGTTAATTCCTTTCTGAAAGGGAAAACTAAGACAAAATATAAAACATTAGTTTTACAAAACTAAACAAAACTAAAACATTATTTGGGGGAGGAAATCAAAAGGCAGATTATTAAAGGAAAAAGAGAAGAAAAGAAAAACAGAACAAAACGTATCTATAAGAGGCCAGAGTCATTAAGAAGAGAAATCTTTCACTGCTGGAAGGCTGAAACATTGACTGGGAGAAGGCACAATGGGATCTTCCAGGTGCTGAAAATACTCTACTTCCTGACTTTGGATGCTGGCTCTGGAGATGCGTGTCAGTTATTGAATGACTGTCTCTTAGCTCCAAACTTATCCCTCACCCACTGCCTTGTAATGCTGGGATTGGGGTCTCTGCTTTCTAGGTCTCTGCTTTGCCAGTTGGCTCCCTATTAAACTCTGCCAATATGAAATAGCAGAGAGAGATTATGAGGTTGAAGGAGAAGGGCGGAGCTTGTGGCTTCCCATCTGCTTTGCAGTTCCTGTAAGTCTCATATCAGCAATACTTCACTCCAATAGAGCAACTCCTTCCAGCTAAAGCAGCTAAATGCATGTGCAGCTTCTCCAACAGTTGAAGGACCAGTTTTAACACACTCTCTTGCCCCAGAGGCTCCAGGGCCGGTTGGCCACAGCCCCATTCTCAGAAGTCTGGGTTCCATTTCTCCAGGAACCTTCTTTCCAGTTCAGAGACTCCAGCAAAGCTGGGTGGTGGCCCCTCCTTAGAAGCTTGAGTTTCAGCTCCACAGGGGTTCCTCCTTTAAGTTTTGAAGTTTTAATAATTCTAAATTCTCCCCTTTGTTCCTTCAACTCTAGTGGTGGTAACTGCTTCCTGCAGTTACTTCCTCTATGATGCTTTTGGGTTCTTACTACCCTTTCAAATAATAAGATAATGACATTATATTTGATTAATGACTTTATGTTAAACACTCTCACTTCAATTAACCTATATGGTGGTATTCATCAGGATGCTGGATCATCTAAATATATAGGATGAAGAGAAGAAAGAGCAAGAAGACTCACAAGTTTCTGGCTTGGACAACATATTAAATACCTAATAAATGTTTATAAGTAAAAGATAAGAAAGGAGTGAAAAAGATAAAAATAAAAAAAAGGAACCAAATACTGATGGGAACCCTTAACTACTGTTGGCAGTCGTATAAACTGATATAACCATTCTAGACAAAGGCTTGGTATTTGGTTAGGCTGAATATCCATATATCCTTTGACTTGTAATTCTACTATGAGGTATATACTCTAGAAAAATCTTGCACTGATGTACCAGATAAGAATGCTTACAGCAGCACTGGTCATATGGACAATAAGCTGGTAAAAAACTGAAATGTCCATCAATGATAGAATGTATAAATAAATAAAAATGAAGGAAATAAATAGGTCTGTACATTAACAAGGATGAATCTCAAAGAAAATCAGACAAAAGTGAACAATGCATTGTTTTCAGCATATTTTAAGGAATATAAAGATAGGTGGTAAAACCATAAGGAAACAGAAGGAAAAGATTAACAAAATTCAGGACAGTGAGCCTCTGTTGGGGAGGGAGCAAGATGTGACTGGAAGCAGTTAAGAGAGAGACTTCTGGGTATTCAAATGTTCCATTTCTTGGCCTGGATGGTGAAACAATCATGTTTTATTCCCTAAGTGTATATGCACAATGTATATACACTTTATTGTGTATATTCTATATTTCACTTTTTTCCTTTTTAAAGAAATAGAAAGGGAAGAAGAAATGGCTAAAAAGAGCAGAAGTACATGGTGACTCTGGTTAAGCAGGCTGTCTTTAAGGGAGTTTCAAAGTGCTTCTAAAAGGGCTGGGAGAATGAGTTTAGCAATCTTTTCAGTAGAAGTATAAGTCAGAGCCTATTAAAACATTTAAAAATCATCCCACCACTGCCACCAAAACCAAACCAAAACAAACAAAACCCAAACAACAACAAAAATTTCAAAATAAAGCTTAAAAGCCAAATTATCTTAAGATACAACACTATAAAAACATTTATTCTATGGATTTAAAACCACAATTTCAAAATTCAAAATACCTTCTCACTTTGCTCCAGTGAAAAACTATCTAGCAAGAATAGAGATATTGCTTGAAGAAATAAGAGATAGTGGCTGTACTCCCACATCATCATAAATGTGTAAGTTGAAGCACTCATCAACAAGTAGCAAAACCTCTAGGGAAAACAAAAGAAAGAAACTAAATATCAGTAGCTTTATTACTATAAAAATCTATGAGGTTGTTACCTCAAAGTTGCAGCCCTGTTACTGGTTCAACTTTTAAATTATATAATTCTAGAAATTTTGTTTTTAAGTCACATAATTATTAGTAAATCCTTACATAAACAATAAGATCGTAAATAAAACACAGAGATAAATCAATTACTTGTCCTTCAAAGTTCAACAACATACTGAGAATTTCAGGAAGACAAAGGGAAAAAATTTGGTACATTTTTCTTTTATCACAAGAGGTAAAGTAATAAACATAAGGAAACAGTGGCTTTTGCTAGACTTCCTAATGGGCTTTTGTATTGTGAAAGTAACTTAAAAAATATTTTTACTTCCATATTTCCCCTAGGAGTTTCCATCTAAATACTCTATGTTTCAGCCTATTCCACAGTCCAAGGAAAAAAGCCCACTGCTTTTCTCATTACTTCTCAGGAAAAGCGTGCCCTTACCTTTCCCCAATCCTTGTATTGTCAAACATATAAAACTCTCTTTTCCTCTGCTAAGGTACTAAACACAAAGACTTTTTGCCCTTGCCTGACAAATGCCTGGCTAAAATCAATTCTGTCTTTCCAAATGTTATTTCTCAAGTGATCCTTTAGTGAGAAACCAAGTCTGACATATTCCGTAGCATATTTCTAACAACCTCTACTTCCTCCAGGAACCTACATCTATATTGCCAATTCCTCCACCAGCCACGGTATTACATGACTTCGTTCTTATAAGAATAGCAAAGGATAAAGGCAATAAGGGTTTAGTCTAGTCAAGAAACCTAAGATAATAGCCATGTGATCTAAAACTAAATCCAACTTCAGCTCAGGTCATGATCTCACGGTTTGTGAGTTCGAGCCCTGCGTCAGGCTCTGTGCTCACAGCTCGGGAGCCTAGTGCTTGCTTTAGATTCTGTGTCTCCCACTCTCTTTGCCCCTCCCCTGCTCACACTGTCTCTCTCTCTCTCTCTCTCTCAAAAATAAACATTTTTAAAAAATTAAAAAATAATAAATAAATTCCAAAATCAGAAATACTTTAGGCCATCAGCAGATAAAAAGATTATCCTGGGGCACGTGGGCTCAGTTGGCTGAGTGTCCAACTTCAGCTCAGGTCATGATCTCGCATTTTGTAAGTTGAGCCCTGCATTGGGCTCTGTGCTGACAGCTCAGAGCTTGAGCCTGCTTTGGATTCTGTCTCCCTCTCTCTCTGCCTCTCCCCTGTTTGCATTTTGTCTCTCTCTCCCTCAAAATAAATAAACATTAAAAAATTAAAAAAAAAAAAAGATTTTCCAGCACTCTGAATAAGATTAAGACCAGAGAACAAAGTGTAAGAGATGGAAAAATTCGGGGCGCCTATGGTGACTCAGTTGGTTAAGCAACCGGCTTCAGCTCAGGTCATGATTTGGCAGTTCATGGGTTCGAGCCCCACGTCAGGCTCTGTGCTAACAGCTCAGAGCCTGGAGCCTGTTTCAGATTCTGTGTCTCCCTCTCTCTCTGACCCTCCCCTGCTCACGCTGTCTCTCTCTCTCTCAGAAATAAATAAAACATTAAAAATTATTTTTAAAAATAGAGATGGAAAAATTCTACCAGTTGGTCAAAGAATACCAACTGCAAGGTCTAGAAGAGCTTAGTACTGATAGAACACATAAGCTTCTGCTCTTCATATCACCATATCTTTAAGTGTTCTGGAAACTTCTAATGTGGAACAACCAGAACTATAATAACCAGGTCTGAAATCATCACCCCCAGAGAAAACAGTACCAGAGATCAATGAAGGCTCAGGTTTAGATCCAGCCCAACTAACCTACTAGACATGCAGAGATTACTTCAAAGATGTTAGGAAAAAGCTACAGTAAAATGATACAAATTGCTAATGCCACGTTATTCTCAAACTACTTAAAAGAACATGCAGTGTGAAATAAGATAGAATATATGTTGGGGCGCTCAGTCAGATAAGCCTCCAACTTCAGCTCAGGTGATGACTTTGGGGTTCATGGGTTCGGAGCCCCATACTGGGCTCTCTGCTGTCAGTGTGGAGCCCGCTTCAGATCCTCTGTCTCCCTCTCTCTGCCTCTCCCTGCTCATACACACTCTCTCCCTCTTAAAAAATAAATAAACATTAAAAAATAAAAAGATTTTTAAAAAAGAAATATATGTCCAACACAATCTGTACTGTTTTTCCTTTCTCTGAACATTTTCAAAATTCTATACACTCTTGTCTACCCTTTACCTTGCTCACTTCATTTTCAACTATGCCTTTATTGTTAACTATTTTACACATATTACTTGACACATTAAATGTATTTCAGTAATTAACCACAGATATCTCTAGATGGCTCCAGATAACTGCACAAAAGATCTGAGCTTGGATATCCTGATGCATCTAGGATCACAAGATCTAGCCTCAAGAATGGGAAGCAAACTACAAAATGTCTTTAAGATATACATACTGCTGCAATACTACTTGGCAATGAAAATAAGCAAACTATTGATATAACAACTCAGATAAATGTCAAGGGCATTAGACTAAATGAAAAAGGACAATCTTAGGGCACCTGGGTGGCTCAGTCGGTTAAGCTTCTGACTCTTGATTTTGGCTCAGGTCATGATCTCAGGGTCCATGAGATGGAGCCCATGTCAGGCTTTGTGCCAAGAGTACAGAGCCTGCTTGGGATTCTCTCTCCCTCTCTCTCTCTGCGCCTCCCCTGCTCATTCTCTCTCTCTCTCTCAAAAGTAAACAAACATTAAAAAAAAGAAAACAGCCAATCCTGAAGGATAACATACTATATAATTCCACTTGTATAACCTTCCAAAATGAAAAAAATCATTGTGATAAATAATAGAGCAGTGGTTGCCAGAAAAACAGAGAACAGAAGATAGGCGGTGCTACCATAAAAGATAACATTGCTGCCATCTGCAGTCACTCTTTGGATCTTCATTAGTATTTCCTTAACTTGTAATGACTAAAAACTATCAATATTACAGAAAAGAAATGGTAAAATAATGAGACAGATTAATTTTAAAAATAATATATTCTTCATTTATTTGTCAAGTAACTGTGCTGAAACAATAGAACATCTCCTTTCTCTTAAAAATAATTAACCCATCAGGGGCACCTAGGGCTCAGCTGGTTAAGTGTCTGACTCCTGGTTTTGGCTCAGGTCATGACCTTATGGTTTCCTGAGTTCAAGCCCCATGTTGGGCTCTGCACTGACAGCATGAAGCCTGCTTGGGATTCTCACTCTCCGTATCTCTGCCCCTCTCTCACTTGGCACTATCTCTGCCTCTCTCAAAATAAATAAATAAACTTTAAAAAAAAATAGTAATTTACCTGTCAGACTAGATTAATAGTGTTATAGTAAGACTACTTAAATGTATCCTTTATTATGTAATAATTAGGCTTCACTAAGTATCACTGAACTGTTAATTAATTTGACTAACTTTACAATTATATACCACATTTGCAATACATCAAAATTAATTGTGACAAGTAAGTTTGTATCTTACCTCTCCATATGTATTTAAGTTGCTTTTTAAATAGCCTGTAAGTGCAGCAATTTGGCATGCAAAGTATGGCAGTGCCCAGTTTTCTCTTAAAGGAATGGAGTATTCAATTCTTGTTGTATCTACCCTAAAGTAAACCACAGATGAACAGCTAAATATCAAGACATTATGCTTGTGTAACACTATACCTTTCAAAGTACTTTCACACACATCTCATTGTTCTCTGTAACAGTCTTGCAAGGTGGACACAGACAGAGGCACTACCGTGTATACAGCATCTTGAGTAAATTAAGCATTTCATTCAACCCCCCTTACCTCCCTTCCAGGAAGACTCAGTGTGGTTGTACACTGCTTGGGGAATAGGATGGTCATCTGTGAAAATTTGAAAAAGGCACCCTGCTCTGAGTAGATATACCTCACGTTAAGGCACAAAGCATGTCGCAAAGGACATTAGATTTCAGTTCCTACCCCCTCTTCCCTTAATGAGATAGATGGTTACTCTTCTCTAGAGTACAATCTGTATTACATAATTAACAGGCCTGACAGGGCTAAAGTTCTTATCATCCCTTATTTAAAGAATATGAAGTTCAGAAGAGTGATGTGACTTAATCAAGGTCAATATAGCCAGGAGGTGGCACAACTGGGATTACAATGTGTATCTTCTGATATCTAGTTTAATAATCTTTTCAATCAGCAGGTTCTCCGGAATTACCATTACAGAAATGTTTAAATCCCAAATACAGCATGTCTTTCCAGGCTCTCCCTAAGTTTCTTTTCAGTCAATCTGCTCTAAGAGCATGTTGTCTTCTGGGCATATCCTTACACCTCAAGAGGATTACCTTTCCAACAATCACTAAATTTGGAACTCATACGCTCAATGTCTTTTTTTTTTTTCCTACACAGAAACAAACATGCGACTGCTTTAAATTTTTGTGAAAATTGTTGTATAACTCTCCTAAATAATAGAGATTAATATATTTGCATATAATTTAGTTCAATCAAACTGTGATATAGGATACTACTTAGCAATGAAAAAGGAATGAACTACTGGGGTGCCTGGGTGGCTCAGTCAGTTAGGCGTCCAATTTCAGCTCAGTTCATGATCTCGTAGTCCGTGGGTTTGAGCCCCACATTGGGCTCTGTGCTGACAGCTCAGAGCCTGAAGCCTGTTTCAGATTCTGTCTCCCTCTCCCTCTACACCTCCCCAACTCATGCTCTGTCTCTCTCTGTCTCAAAAATAAATAAATGTTAAAAAAAAAAAGAAAAAGGAATGAAAAACATTCTAATATCAATAATCAAAGTTTCTACCCTGAGAAACTAAAAAAAGAAAGACATATGGAACTTAAAGCNCCTGTTTCAGATTCTGTCTCCCTCTCCCTCTACACCTCCCCAACTCATGCTCTGTCTCTCTCTGTCTCAAAAATAAATAAATGTTAAAAAAAAAAAAGAAAAAGGAATGAACTACCGATATGCCCAATATACAAGAATCTCAAAGTAATTATGCGGAGTTAAATTAAAAAAAAAAAAAAAAAGACCAGAAAAGTATATGGTATATGACTCTATTAAATAAAATTCTGAAAAATGAGGGATGCCTGGGTGGGCTCAGTTGGCTGAGTGTCTGACTCTTCATTTCAGCTAAGGTTGATCCCAGGGTCATGAGATTGAGCCCCACATTGGGCTCCATGCTTATGGAGCCTGTTTGGGATTCCCTCTCTCTATATGCCCCTCTCCCCACTCTTGTTCTCTCTAAAATAAAAATAAAAACAAATTTAAAATACTAGAAAATGAAAACTGTAGTGACAGAAAGCAGGTCTCTGGTTTTCTGGGGACAATGGGACAGTTAGTAGAAGTGAGGTAAGAAGAGGAAGCATTACCAAGAGGCACAAAGAAACTTTTGGAGGTGATAGATACGTTTATTACATTAATTTTGTTGATGGTTTCATGAGTGTGTCTAAATGCCTGAACTAATCAAACTGTATACTTTAAATACGTATATTCTATCTAAGTTATACCTGTAGACCTGTTAAAAAGCATTACAAGAAAACTTGTCTTCTATGAATGTATATGCGGTTGAATACATATATATGAAAAAAACAAGATCATACATGAGGATTAAACAAAATGAAAGCCGTAAAGAACTTAGCAGTGTATCTACAGCTTAGTAAATGGTATTAGGTCTTGGGTCTTTTACAATTCTGTAACGAACCACTTTTTGCTTAATATATAATGAGCACCTTTCCATAATATATGTATCAATACATATGGTTCAAGACTATTTACTGGCCATGACATATCATTGTATAGATTTGATATTAATATAAACCAATTTCTATTGTCAGACACTTACATTGTTTCTGATCTTATCTTTTACAAAGAATTTTAAAACATGAACCAATGTTTCTGTATAGTAATTATTGGTTTCACTATTTACTTTTAACTTTAATCCATTTGGAATTTATTTTAGTATTGATGCAATAAGATTTCTTTTCCAGATGATTCTTTTAATGCAATTTACTTAATATCATGTATTCTAAAGACCATCTATTTTCATATATTATCCCTGAGAAATTATAAAAGTTAACTCTCTAAAGACAAATAAGAGATTCATGTGTATAAGGCAGGACGTAGGGAGGAAGGAGAGGATATCTATTTTCAATTCAGGACTCCACCAGCCACTCCATCAGTCCAGAATTGGGAAGCTGGATCCAGCAGCCAACTTTCTGACAGTTTACTCACTATCCCTGCCCAAGTAACAGATCAGTACAGTGAAATCTTTAAAATTCTGCAATGCAGAAGGGGAGTCGTTGCAACACAAACTGAGTAGGATCTCTGCCAGTTGTTCTCTTCACCTGCACACACTTCCCCACTGCAACCTTCCCGAACATCTGAGCTACTATCTCTTGCCTTTATCACACTTGGTGGTTGTAAGGAACAGAAGGCTAATAGTAGAAAGTGACTAAATCAGATGAAACCCACTTTTTCTCCCCTGTGGCAGAGTCTACAATAGCACAAACCAGTAGTTCAAAAGAATAACTAGTTAATTGACCTGGGATTCCAGGCCTATAGATACATTCACAGAAATCAGCAAGCTCTGGTTTCATTCTGAGTTTTCTTTTTTTTTTTAAAGTAACCTCTACACCCAATGTGGGGCTTGAACTCATGACCCTGAGATCCAGAGTCACATGTTCCACCAACTGATCCATCCAGGCACCCTTTGAATTTTCATTTTAGACACACCATGGTGTAAGCATAATCTGGATTTCAGTACTCACTTCCATGTTTGTGTTAACAATCTAGTTGGCAACATAGCATTACTTCAATTGGCTTGAGTTAACTGGGGGGGCGGGGGGGAAGAGCCTGTAATACTAAATGATGTATTGCCAAATAAAAATAAAACGATGTCCCGATCACTGTGGTCAGAAAAAATTTCATAGTAGACAAGAGAGCAACATGATGAGAAGTGAGTATCCCACAGTACCCAGTTGTGCAGGTTTACCATACTCAAAAGAACCTGCTGGAATGGTGCCATATTTACACAGCTATAGAAATCTGATTTTAGCAAAATATCATTTTTTACATTAAATTCCACTTTTCAGTTAATATTTTGCTGTTTCACTATTTCATTAATAAGTTGGTTTCAGTTTTATAGTAGTATAAGTGCTCTTAAGTATATGGAGCATTACCTAGTTTTGTTTTATATGTAAGTAGCATTATAGAAGTAAATTATGTCAATACATGGAATCCAAGAGAGTTTAAGTTTTAAATATACAGAACTGAAGTCTGAGAAATGTTGAGTTGGATAACATATAAAACAGTTTGGCATGTCAATGTATAATGTGTGAAAGATGAAAAACACTTATACAATATCACTTCTAATGGCACTTGCACTGATGTATTACAACTTACCTAAGCATTCTCCTATATTTAGATGGTTTTCTAATTTTTCATATTATTTTCCTCCTTTTCTGAATTACTGCCTTGTAATAAAATCGTATTCCTGGGAAAGACTAACACCTAAACTTTAAAAAGCTTATACCTCCATGAGCATTCTGAGTATACCAACAACTTTACAACAGAACTAGCATCATGTGTTACCATTATTTTCTATTAGCTGTGCCTCTAGGTCATGTACGTGACCTTGCTCCTAATCTCTTTATTATTACCAATGTACAATTACTATTTGGGAGGGCCAAAGACTAACTTTAACATACACTTTTTTTGTTGTTTATTTATTTTTGAGAGAGATAGAGCATTAGTGGGGAAGGAGTAGAGACAGAGGGAGACAGAATCCAAAGCAGGCTCCAGGATCTACGCTGTCAGCACAGAGCCCTATGTGGGGTTTAAACTCACAAACCACGAGATCATGCCCTGAGCCGAAGTTGGACAGTTAAGTTACTGAGCCACCCAATATACACTTTTAATCATACACATTTCTTCTTTGCTCTTCAAATATAAAGATGTTTTCACTGAAAGTGATAACTTGGTATATATTTGTAGATGAGAAGATCAATAGGAATCTTTCATAATGTTTATATGTAAAGCCTGGTTTTGGTTGGGTTATTTTGGTGATAACGTCTGTTAAAAGGGAGTCATTCACCCCTGATTTTTCCTCCACTACTGTTTATACAATGCTGTTTCCTAAAATTTTCTCAGATTTTCTAGTGTATCTACATCTTTCAGTTTGACAATCCTGCTTTCCCTTCTGGTGTTAAGAAACAAATAATGTAAAATACAATTAAGAACATTACTAATAATCATAATATAATGGAATGACTAATACCTTTTTATACTCTTCTAGGCATTCAGATATAAACTCTAAAACAGATGAGTGAAAAAAAAGCAAATTCTCTTTCATAGCATTAAAATATATTTTCCAGTATAAAATATATACCAATAAAAAATGAAATGCAAAACAAAAACTACTTGCTAAGAATATTTTAATTGCCAAAAGATACATTTTAGCAGAATATATCACAATTTTTCTACCTAATTCTTGCTCTAGCTACCCAGGATACAATGTATCATTAAATAAGACAATTTCCTTTACAATTCTAAGAGTTCTAAAACACTCTATTTGGGGGGCATCTGGGTGGCTCAATCCAAGCTGATAGCACAGAGCCAGCTTGG